CTATGTTTTTCTGCTCTGATCCATCTTATTTGTTATTGGGGTGGGAAGGGAGGAAAGGGATATAGGTGATGGAAAAGTGGCAAAGAAAGTGGAGAAAGAATTGGAAAAAATTTTAAAAGCCAGCGTAAGAAATTCCACCCCTTGGTGTGGAATGCATCTTAGCTCATCTTTCCGGAAAATTATAGGAGTCCTTGCCCGCATGTATTCAGTTGCTTTCTCTGCATCGTTTTCTCCTCACGCGCTTGGAGTTAGAGTCAACCTGTGAGGTTGATCAGGACAGAGAGCTCACCCGTATTTGTGTCTCCTCCAGAACCCAGCACCATGTCTGGCTCAATGCCAAATTCTTGGCTGAACTCATTGACACTTTCTTTAAAGAGGTCTTCCTTGATATTTCTTCTCTCACTACAGGAGCAATTCATTTCTACCGCACATATATTGCATTCTGTTGTACTGTGAAGTATCTGTATTCATGCATGTTTTTTGCGGGGAGAGGGCTTTATTTTCATCAATAACTTGTAATGCCATTGGGCATAATAACTGCATATAACCTGTTTAGCAAACATATGGGCCTTATATAACTCCGTATCCTCCCTGGCATCTGTCATCAAGCATTTTTTCCTCACAGTGAATAGAGACAGAGCAAGGCATTTGCTGTGGTGGTATCTAGCATCTTCTTTCTGTACTGTCTTCCACTTAGCTGTTACTATTTTCTGCCTGAGTATCTCTGTATAATGTTCTGTTCTCCTGCCTATAAACACAAAATTATTTTTCTCATCACTCATTTATCCTTAGATATAAATTCGTTTGCTTAGATATTTGCAATTTAATCCTTTAGTCATTATTAGAAGTGAAAATTATAGATTCCTTTAGTAGGGATATTGGTTAAAGTATTGCAGAAGATACAAAGGATAAAAAAAAAACATTTTTTTATATCCCATGTTTTATTAAGGTGGTGAGTTTCATGCTCTCTTGGGATCAGATTCAGCTGTAAAGGTAGTTAGATAAAGAGATGCTGCATCTCCCGCAGCAACCCCACCTGCATATGAACACACGATACAAACCCCTCAGCACACTGCAATAGAATCTCTAGGGACGGGCATGGCATACATACGTTCAAAAACTTCCACTGATACACCTTAATATACTCTCGTTGAGAGTAATTATACTAGACCCCTTTATATGGTATCTTATTTACTCTCAAAATAACCCCATGAGGAAAAGCAGCCCTACCCCATTTTATGGATGAGCAAATTAAGGCTTCCAGGAGCTGAGTCTCTTGCTCAGGGCCACAATGCTGGTATTTACTAGAGAGCCAGAATCAAAGTCAGCAGGATTCCAAACGTATTATTTTTTCAATATCGCTGCCACAAAAATCTAGTGCCGCTTAAAACTAATCCCGCAAGTAACATCCCTCTAGTCAGTGGAGAAGTTGGCTGTTGGCCGAGGTGGGTCTATCATTCAGGGACTCAGGATAAAAGAGAGGGCGCATTCAACTGGGCCATTGGAGAGAATTTAATATAACAATTTACAGCAGTGTGGGCAATACCCTAGGACTGGTTACAGTAGGCCTGACGTAGTGAGCCTCGGTTGACTGGAGTCTGGAGAGAAGGTGGTGGAAGAGTGAAGGAGGAAAGAGAAGGAAGAGGGAGATGGAAGGAGCCGCCTGACAGGGCTGGGCCCCGTTCCTGGGATACAACCAGGTCACGACAATCCTGGCGTGGGTGGGCGTTGTCCTGCTAGTCTTTGCCCTTGGCTGAATCCAGCTGGAACACAGAAGGCAAGGGAGCTTAGAGTCCACACGCCTGCCGCTCGGGGCAGAGGCGCTAGGGCATGGACGTGGGAAAGTCCAGCACGGTGTTCGCCGTCCATCTCTTCCACCCGGCCCTGAGCCTCACCCCCGTTCTCCCCGAGAGCAAACAAAAATTGCATAGGCTTAAAACAAAACAAACACAAACAAACAACTTTTTAAAAAATCTGTGGTTGTAAATACTTCTGAAATGTATTAGTGCACTTTCTTACTAAACAATTACATGCATCGGCATTGGTTACAGTTTTACTGTGTTACTGACAAAGGAAGGTTGAAATATTGGTTAAGACCTTCCCTCAAATAGGTACATATACTTTAAATTTTTACTGTTTTCTTTGGGGGTGTGGTCAGGTTGAGGTATAATTTATGTATGAAAAAACTTACCCAGTTGAGGTATACAATTCTATCAGTTTTCACAAATGTATACAGTCAAAATCAAGATATGGAATATCTTGACCAAAATCAAGATATGGAATATTTCCATAATGCTGGAAAGTTGTAAAGCTTTTTAAAACCTTTAATCTCACTCAACTAAATATTTGGTATCAACGTTTGTTTCTTCTAATTTTAAATAGGAAAATGGGTGTAGCAACAGCAATATGTTGCACATAGGAGCTGCTTTTATGAACAGTATTTGTGTAGGTTTGTCTCCTCACCCTTCTGAGTAAAATAAACTACCCATGTCAGTTACTAACTCATTTCATATATTAATATATTAGACTGAGAAATACTTCCTAACCTTGGCTATACACTGAAACCACTTGCATCTCTTAAGTGGCCTGAGGGCTGGGTGGCACACCTTAAATCGGGATGTCTGAAGTTGTTTCCAAGATATCCATAATCTAAAGCTTTCTAGTTGATTCCAGTACACAGCCCAGGTTGAGACTCTTGGAATTAGACCAGTTGTTCTTAACTCTGGCAGTAGAACGAACCCCCTGGGCAATTGTGTAAAAATACTGATGCCTTCCCCCAAATTCTGTTTTATACAACTTGTTCATAAAAGTTAACTATAAGGAAAAAAATAAGATTTGGGTAACTGAGATCTCTGAATGGTTGGACTAATCAAGGTTTTATTATAGTTCTAGGTGTGTGGTAGTGTTCAATAAATGTTAAACAGAAGTCCTAATCCTGCAGTGGTGTCAACGAGAATAAAAAATTCTCCCTCTTGGAAATAAGCTGTGTATTTGAAATAATTATCTTGGCAAACTATCACTTTCTGAAAAGTGTCTTCCTAGGTAATTTACCTCAAATTGTAAGCCTTGTATTTTAAGAGAATACTATATTTCAACTATATTTTCACACCGTGATATTAGGCCCATAGATATCTTATAGCACTTTCATAATTCTTCCCAAGAAAGTAGACAGGAAACAAGATGAAGAGACTAAGGATAAGATTTAAACCAGCCTCCCCTTTGGAAGCATAAATGATGCCGTTGCAGCTCTGGGCCAGGAAAGCACTGCTACTTTGTGAAAAAGAGCGATGGCCCTTTCTTGCTTTTACGGTGGCAAAATACACACACAAAGGACACCTAGTGCAGGGGCTAGAACACAGATGAGCCAAGTGTCTAGTGAACCAGACAGAGGACTGGCAAGCAAAACGTTCCCATATATCTTTTCAGATTTCAGGAGCTAGTCACTAAAATAACAAAAATCTCTTTTTCAGTATAAAGCTATTGCTGATCTATTATGGCAAAAAGTCTCATCAAGCAACCTCTTTCGACGCATGCTAAAGGCCCTCGGTATCGCGTTCCGTGCCTCACACGTGGACTAGTGCCACAAAGAGCATTTTTCTTAAAATAAATGTTCTTAGTTTAAAATAGAAAATTTAGAATTTATTTAATTTGAACTTCTCGCTTCTTATTCAACTCTTCTACTCCTTTTTTCTTTTCTTTTTTAGGACCACCTCAGAAAATAGTGTCACCCAAACAGGAACATGAAGATAGGAAACACGACAAAGTCACCGATAAAGGAAGTGAAAGTGGGACTTCCTGTAATGAGCTGTCTACTTCCAGCTGCGACAGCCACTCGGAAGCGAGCACCCCCCAGGACAACCCGCCCACTGCCCAGCAGGCAACCGCTCACCAGCCCAACACCCTAACCTTGGATCGCCCCTCCAAAAAAGCACCCGTGCAGTGGATGCCCCCACCAGACAAACGCAGAAACAGTGAACTCTTTCAGACGCTCATCAGCAAGTCCCGGGAAACAAACCTTTCCAAAAAGAAAGTCTGTGAGAAGCTGAGTGCGGAAGAAGAAATGAAAAAGTGTATTCAGGATTTTAAAAAAATCCACATTCCAGATTATTTTCCAGAGCGCAAACGCCAATGGCAGTCTGAACTGTTGCAGAAGTATGGGTTATAGTGATCGTCCCATCCCTGCAGTATTTTGATGGCATTCAATGTTTACTACAGTGTCACCACCTGACTGACGTCCTAACAATGGTCAGTGTGATTCTTGCTGCTCTTCCTTTTTGTGAACAGTGGATGTGGGACAGTATTTTCTTTCATTCTTTTTTGTTGTTGTTTTTAGAAACATGATAAAAAAACGGGGGAAAAATGAAATCAATAAACGTTAAATTAAAATGGTATATTTGATTCAAGCCATTTTGCAAGAATGAAAGTAAAATGTGCATGATCAAGAAGCTTAGAATCTTGATTTTTGAACTGTGGTCAACCGGACATGTGTGTCATTTTGCAACTCACCAAAAACGAACCATCATATCTCATCAACTAAAATGACAATGTGGATGAAGGAACATCAAGTAAAATTTTAGGTGATGGTTTTAGGATCCAAATCCAAAACTGTCTAAATGTTAATGCAATAAAACAAGTATTATTTTTGCATGAGCACAATGTTACAAATAACTCACAAGAAATAGGGAAGATCTGTTTGTTGCTTGGAAAGAAAAAAATACAAAAAATAAAGCAAAAAAAAAAAAAAAGTTTTAGGCAAAGCCTATAAATGTGAGCAGTCTAGAAGACTGAATTTTCTTTGTTCCGGATCTGTGACTTTTTGTGTATCTGTATGGTGTCTATGTACAATAAGATTGTGTAAATATGCCTTATACTGTTGTGTTATGGCACCAACATTCATCTATTAATGCTAGTCATGATTATTTCTGTGAAATGAATCTTTTACATCAAGCTATGAAAATTGGTATAACGATGCTCCGAAAGATCCTATTATCATGTTAATCAAAATATTTGAGGAGAATGGTAAAGAGCTTTATGTATTTATTAAAAAAAAGAAAATGTATTAGAATTCCTTAATTTCCATTGGCTCTTCTTTAAAAATATTCAGTTGTTAAATTGTCTTCAATGATCTATTTAGACTTAATGTTGACGAGTTTAAACATAATTCAAAATGGAGATAGAGCTGGATCCAGACAGCCTTGGTATTGATTAATACACACTTAACCCCACAAGAGAGAAAGACCTCATCTGAGAATACACTAAAATTTTATTTTAGCTGACAACCAGATTGAAAGCCTTTCCAAGAACAATTGGGAAGTGACCTCTTACAAATCAAGACACAAAACTGTCCATTGCAAGCTAAAAAGTCAGCCTTTATGAAAAGTAATTTCTTCTTGGTCGTATATGTGGAAACAAGCTTTCTTATCATAAGCCACACAATTTTGCCTCACCATCTCCACAGAAAGAAATATATCATGAAATTTTTTCTTTAATAGGCTGAGAAAGGGTAAAAATATCTTCAACAGTTATAAAATTCAGTCTCCTCTGTGGTTAGTCTCAATGACACTTGAGGAGCATTTGTGGTATCATTTCTTTTAGCATAATAAGAGATAAGCATCACCAACTCAAAATTTAAAAAATATATATATATGTTTATTTCTGGACGTATTTTCAGAGTTCTCACTGTACCATTATGTAAAAAAATATCACCTGCTATGGACTAGTAAAGAAAACCAGGATGCATGATTTACCTTAAATTATCTATCAGACCTTAGGAAAAGAGCTCTTCTCGTGTTCTGCATTTCATCTGGGGAAGGCTGGCAGTCACACACGGCTTGATGTAGCCGCAGCGCACTGGCCAGTGGGTGGAGCTTGGTGGTTCAGTTGCCACAGTTCAAATCCCACCTTTACCACTTGCTATTCGTGTGATTGTCAAGATAATGGGGATAATAAAGGGATCAAAATATCATAGAGAAGGTGTAAATGATGTTATTCAAGTAAAGCATCACCACTACTCCTAGAGCTGGAGGGAACAAGGAAGGTGGTGGTCTTACTGCAATAAAATCGTGGAGCTGGCACTATGAGATGAAGAATTTGGAATACAGAGGAGAAAGCTCTCCGTTAAGAACTACAGCCTCTAAGGAGTCACAGTCATTTTCAAAGATGCCTCCCAAAGCACAGAGAGGGGAGGAAAATTACCCCACTTTCTTGCTTCATCCCACATTCTAACTTACCGCCAAAACCTTCCATTTTCCAGTGTAAGTAGAAGCCAGTTGGCAAAGGAGCCCAGAAAATGTAATTTGTACACGTGTTCTCCCTTGTGGTACAAAGCACAGCAGCAAAGGGCAAGGAATGGATCCGAAAAATACCCTGCTCTATTTTTCCCAGCACGAAAGTTCAAATAGAAGGCAATGGAAAGAATTTGGTAACTGAGGACTATTTCAGATCTCCATATCTCTGTAGCCTAAGAGAAGAATGTCTATCCTTGCAGTCCTTCTTACTAAACTAGAATAAAAGATCTGAACTATGATCCATTTCAACAATAGTCTAGTGAGAATTTACAATCCACCAAGAATTTGTCTCAAAGATCAATAACATGTTTAAGAAACACAAATTACCAGTTGTTGCTTTCAGGAGGAAGCTTACGGTCTGATTCTCTTAGATCATTATGCTTTCCCCAGAGGCTAGAATCTGGCTGGCCTTAATTGGGGTTACAACAGTATCAAGGTTGGCAGCTAGAATGAGGACTCTCTCCTGAAGGAAAAGGTGACACCAAACTTTAAAAGTGGGTTGAGCTAAAACTGATATATAAAACTCCCTTTCCAAAGATTCAGAAGATAAAATCAGATAGTCACCACAAGTCGAAAGACTGGAACCAGGCACCGAAGTTGAGTATTTATTCTCCCACATACGGTTTACCTTTTGTTTGGTATACAGTCGATACTCAATTTGTGACCTGATGTGATTCTGTTGCTAGTTCATGTGGAAACATTGAGTACTAAAATGAGAAAAGGAAATAAAAGTCAATTGTGAAATTTTTGATTCTGGAAAAATGGAGTAAACATATTTTTTCCCATTCTTCTTACTGAGTACAATTAAAAAATTCCAGACATTATATAAAAATAAACTTAAGAAAATTCTGAAAAGCTGAAAGAAGGAGGAAAGCTGGCTAAGGTATATGGGGTGGCGAATTTCCTGGGTTTCGTTTTTGTCTCATATATAGCGGACCCAGAGCAAAAGAAGCTGGTAACCCGAAAACACCAACAGGTGCAGACAAAACAAGCCCCAGCAAAAGTCTGCTCTCTCTAGTCAAAGCCCGTAGTCCTAGCTACTTGGAAGGCTGAGGCGGGAGGATCCCTTGAGGCCAGGATCAAGGTTACAGTGAACTGCTTTTAGATAATAACTGCTCTGCTGTGTCAGGTTGCGGGAAGGTGGACACAGTTGTATTCGTCATTTTAAGGTTCCTGACTTTTCATAGAATAAAATCCAAACACTTCATAGGGTCCATCATAGGTCCCCAACAAAGTGTCTCCATATCCACTTACCTTTGTTGGGACTACTCCAAAATGTAGTGGCTAAAAAACCAGCCGTGACTCAGGTTGCAACTCTGTGGATTGGCGTTTTGGCCTGACATCAGCTGGGCCGTTCTTCCACTGATCTCACCTGTGCTTGCTTACCTGGAAAATTCTAATGATTTGGCAGGGGCTAAATAATCTATAATAGCTTTACTCAGTGTTTGGCCATTGACGGCCTTCAGTCATGGTACCTCAGTTCTGCACACGTCCCCTGCAGTAGCCTAGCTCAGATTTATTCACGCCGTGGCAGTGTTAGAAGAACGTTCCAGGCCTCTCAGGGCATGGTCCAAGCTCACACATCACTCCCCTTGCATTCTATTCAGATGGTCAGAGCAAGCCTTTCCAAATTCAAGGGGAACGGAAATATGCTTTTCTTCTTCCTGAGAAGAGCAGCAAAGAATTTGCGACCTACCATAGTTCTAACCCACCCTTTCCAGATTCACATCTAGAAGCACACTCTGAACACCAACTACTATGATTTGCTATGACTCTATCTAGGTCCTAAAATCATCACCTCCCCTGCCACCCTCAATCCCAAAGCCATGCAAATTTCTTTACCTGCTTTTTGAAATGTTGCTCATACTACATGTTTCAATTCAAATGAAACCTACTCTTCAAAGCTTTCTTTAATTCCTCAGGGCAGAATTATTAATCATGACAGTCTCAGATATCTCAGATCACTTTTAAAACTTCCTTTCTGTACCTATCATTTATGTTTTATAATGCATAAGAATAATGATGCTCATTTGCCTTTTTCATTAGATTGAAAGATGTTTTATATAGGTTAAGATCTTTCCTCTGAATGGGAAAAGTAATTAGTAGACAGTGTCTGGCACGCAGTGGGTATAACGATTTTGGCATATTAATAAACACCCTTTTCAATGGAAGAATCTCATCCACAGTCCTTTATAAATATTATTCCTGCCTCCCTAGACTTGCTAAAAGCCATTTTACAGTGTTTTCAGGCCATATCCCACTCATTGATCCTACATTGCTGATCCCTCACAGAGAGATTACTAAAATGGGTATTTTAAAAATATTTCACAGTTTATTGCAGTTTGGATGAATGTGATTTTGGCATCTCCTACTTGAGAAGCAGAGACCCGGCCTGAAAATTATTTCTCCTTTCCTACAGTGTTTGCCTATCGTTTGACATACAGTAAACATAACTTGTGACCCAGCATATTAGTTTTTTAGTTTAAATGAGTTAGGCAGAATTTATGGAAGAATAGTTATATTCATTTAAAAAAATGGTGCAATTGGAAAGACTTTCCTATAAAACCCTTACACATCAAATCTATTTTCTTCAAATGGACTTCTCTCCATTCCTCAGTCCTAAAAACAGTTACTTTGAACCCTAACATACGGGAGTTAAAAGAATTACACTACTACAGGGCTGGAAGAATGTTAAGAATCATATATATATTTTCTATACAAATGATTCAAAGAGTAATCCATGCCTATTGCTATAATGCCTCCTGTGGTCTAGGATATATCAAAGATTACCAGATATATCAAAGATACAGCAATAATAAAGATGCCTACGAGTTTATAGATTTAATTTCAACCATAAGATGTGTACACAATGACTATGATGCAGGGTAGGCAGTGGGGTTGGCTGTAATAAAAGCACAAATAACGCTACATGGATTTAGAGGAAAAGACAGCTTTACGGTGAAGGTGGAATGAGACCTGGGACTTGAAGGAAAGAGGATTTAGATTTGTAGATATTAGCATGTCAAAAAGAGGACTGCACAAGGAAAGAGACAAGTCCATAAGCTTAAATAATATGTGAGAGTAATGTAGTAGGTGAAGATATTCCAGGAAAAAATCACTAAAATATTATTGAATACAAAGTTTCAATGAATCTATATTTTTATGTTGAAGAACATATTAATTCTAATAATAATCTTCATATTCAAGACATTCTCGTGAGTAAATTCTTTTTATACCATTCAGTCTCTCTTTCTCTAGTCTGCTGTGGCGGCACCAGGGTGCTATGGTAGAGGCTGATTGTTTTCTCTGAAATGCTTTTAAAAAGATTAAATGGAAACTGGTCAATTAAAATCAATGAAAAGAAATAAGTGAATTAGAACTTAGACCCCTGAAATAATTTTGGGGGGTGGAGTATTTTAACACTGACATTGTTTTGAATTGCCAGTGCACGGTGATAATAAGAAGCAGATTAATTTGTAGTCAGGTTTATTGACATTTTAAAATTATCTACCTTTATTGCCTGCACCCCGGGCAGATTGGTCCAGTCATCTGTGCTTAATACATTGCAGTTCAACACAGAAAACAGACAACATGGTGGAATTTAACAGGCGCTAAGCTAGAAGCTCATGAAAGAACTGTCTTAACTGCAACTGCGGGTTCATACCTGCATCACCTTCCACTTCAGCTGCCGCCGTGATGACTGCGCTGGTCTCTGCCTCCAGTCTTCTTCCTTCCAGCCCACCCTTCATGCTGCTGGAAATGGGATGT